TCTGAACAACGGCAATTATTGAAGGTGTCAGAGAGGTCACTGCCCCATGGGATGTCACCTCCCCCCCCCCCACTAATCGATGCCCTCTCTTGTTGACCTTTTTTTTCTACATCTTCCTGTGAATCTTCTCCTTGAGTCCATACTCTCCCACTCCCCCTAGTGCTAGTTGCCCCCAGGATCCCAACTCCCTCCCTCCCAGGACAAGTGGACTTTTCAAAGACTAAATTCCCCAGGCCTCATCCAGTGTAAGTTTATCATCTCCTTTCATCCACAGGAGCATTCACTCCCACCTCCAAAGTAAGGCCTCCTTTCTTTACCTCACCTCCTTTTCAGTCTTTCTTCCTCTTCCACTGTTCTGTAGGCTCTTCTCTTTCTGAGACCATCTAACTTTCTGCTCATTGCTAGCTGTAGATTTGACCCCGAGGCATCACTTATTTCTCTCTATACCTCTGCGCCCTCCACCCTTTCCTATGCCCTCTTATATTGTGATGGAGTCCCCCCAAAGCAGCATTCACCTGTAGGCAGGGTATTGTCAGGTTCTGTCCTTGTCCTCTCTTTACTGTTACCTCTGCCAGATTTCTGCCTTCAACTCTATCTCCTTGTGTACACTTAGAAAGAAGCTCTTACCGGTCTTTTGTTTTCACTCTATTGCTGTTGCTTTCCTTGCCTGCTGCATGCATTCCCTCCTCAGACATTTCTGTCATTTGGGGTATTCAAGAACAAAATGATCTCTTGTGTTCTTTCTAAAAAAGAGTCAAACTCTTCTTTATTATTGAAAATCCACGAAGCATACTATTTGCTATTCTTTTTTTTCTCTTCTGTTGAGTTTTGTTTCCTCTTTCTGGTGGTTGTTCCTATTGGTTCTAATTCTTACTTACAACATCACTAATGTGAAAATATGTTTAATAAGAATGTATACATATAGCCTATGTCAGATTGTGTGCCGTCTTGGTGGGAGGAGAAAGGGGGAGAAAAATTTTAAACTCAAAAGCTTATGGAAGTGATTGTTGATAAACCAAAATAAATTAATTTCAAAAAAAAAGAAAGAAAACCTACCTTTTCCCCTTGTGGTTAAACTCAGATGTGCACATCACCCTGGGCTGCATCATGAGCTCCATTGCTCTTATGAGCACATCGATCCATTCCCTTCTCCTTTTTCTAGTGGGTGCAGGACAGACTTGTGTTATCTGAATGCCCTTTCCTTTGTATTTTGAGGTCTTTTCCCTGATGGCTTGCAGAACTTATTTCTGAATCGAATTGTTAAATTTAGCCACTATGTGTCTTGGAGTTTGCAGCATTGGGTTTTTTCCCAGAGGTAATCTATGAATTCTTTCAAAAGGGATTTCATTTTCTGTTTCAGAAGTTCTGGGCAGTCCTCTCCTATTATTTCCTTCATTGTGGTGTTAGGGTTTTTCGCCCTGTCGCATTCTTCTGGGAAATCTATGATCCTTAGATTGTCTCTGTGCATCCTCTTTTAGAGATCTGCGTGTTTTGCTTGTATAGTGGGCATATTTTCTTTGAATATGCTTTTTGCTTCTCTTCTTCTAGATTGTCCTTCACTTCTGTGTTTTTGCACTTCTAATCTATTGTTCTCTCTTTTGTTTCTTTGGTGACGCTCTACCATTACAGATTCAATAGTTTCTGTTCTGCTCATTATTTTTACTGTGTGAGATGTAAATTCTGTTCTCGTAATTCTCTTTTTTCTCTTAAACCACTCAGGGACAGTGTGTTATAGTTCTATGTTCTCCTCAAATTCCACAGGCTCCTCTTGGATCATCTTCCTTTATTTTGCAGTATTTATGCATAGATGCCTGAACTCATTTACTAGATCTGGAAGCCATATTTCCTTCTGTTGTTACTGTTTTCCCCATTGATTTATCTGTGAAGGTCTTTGAGATTTCTTCTTCCAAAAATCTTTGAGATACTTTCAACCTTCCTTCTACCATCACCCCCCCTCCCTTTATTTTCCTTATCACTCACTTCCTGGCTCCTTCCTCTCTGATTGTGGTTTCCTTGGGGGCTAGATCTCAAAGCATCTCAGCCTCTTCTCACACTGAGCAATTCACTCTTCACCAGACTAGGTCTCCGCCTCAAGTGACTTTTGGCTGGTGAGAACTAGTCCCTGCTGGGTGCTGTGTTCTTTCCCTCAGGTTTCGTGGAATGCTACACAGTGCGTTGAACAATGTTCTGTCCCACTCCCTCTGTTTCTTAGTTCTCTGGCCTGGCACCAATATCCAGAGCCTGTTTCCCCTGGCACAGGCAGTTCATAGCTTTGCCACTCTGGTGCTTCCAGGGTGTAGCCCCTGGCAAGTTTTTTCTCCTAAGGGGCTATAGCCACACTGGCTGTCAAGGCCTGAGCAACTTCCTTTAAAGTGTGAGTCTCCACTTCAGAAAGGAAAAGGGGGAGGAGGAGACTAGAGCGTAGGAGTGGATTTTAATACAAGCTTAGGTCATGTTCTTCAGCCTTGCTGCCAGGAGTGTGGGAGGTGAGGAGAGGTGCTGAGTGAGCTCAGAGTCAATAGACATCAGTTCCTAGGGCTTTGTTTTTAACTTCCTTTTGGATTCCAGGGTGTCCTAGACCATAGAAATAGCTGAAGTAGCCTTATTTTTAGTGCATGATTTCTGTTTTAGAGAGGTTTAGGGGGTGGAAGGGTCAGAGAAAATGTCTAGTCCACCATCTTGTTGCTCACATGGCCTGGAATATCAGGCTTATCCTGCCCGATGCTTCCTCCTTCCTCAGATGACTGTCTCTCCACTCTGGATGCAGATGCTTCCTTTACTGTCAGCCCATTCTTGCTGCTGCTACAACCAACCCCAACTACTTTGATGTATTTTATAGTTGCCACATTTATAAGCCTCCCATGATCTTATGGCCTTTCAGAACTTACAAGATCACCGAAATGCTTCCATCTCAAGGTTGGTCACCAACTCAGCAAAGAAAATACAAAGGAGATAAAGGTGGCAGACAGGGTAGCTGACCTGTCCCCCCACCAACTCTTATGACCAGCTCACTATAGTCTACATGCTTCAAAGACAGAAAGTAAGAATGACGTAACTTTATTTGTATAAATCTGAATCATCAGTTCTTCTGACTCACTAGCCAGTTTGAAGTCTCTGTCATTCCATGATGCAACCCCTGCACCTGACCCAAAGCAGTGTTGCCCCAAACTTTCATTTGGTAGACTTGGAGCTAGGCAGAAAATATCTAAGCTTATTTCAAGGAATGGGCTTCATAAGCCAGTTCATCCATATGACAACTATATATGGAATTAGGCTGTTCTCAATAGGATAGAAATTCTATTTATTCAAAGGAGGTTGAAGACAGGGGATAAGACAGAGAAAAATCCCACCCCTAATCACATTACCCATTTACTGCCTCTTAACTTAACAAGATGACTGCATTTTCCCTATGGTCCCCTGAGGGACCTCTTTATAATCTGGCTTCCAACTTTATCATTAAACTAAAATTATTTTTTTCTAAAATTACCAATGGTCTCTTAATTATCTAATCCAAATGACTTTTCTTAATCCTGATCTTTCTTGACTCTGTTGATCACCCTCTTTTCCTTGATATTCTCTTCTCTCTGGCCAGTCATCTTGATTTTTGTCTTGCTACTGGACTCTAATGACTCTGGAGGAGAGAGTAAGGCTAATGATGTCACGCAGTTCTGCCTCACTTAAATCCAACTCATGAGCAAGTCAAGACATTACCTTTGGGATGTCATTGGTCCCCTTCGAGAACAAAAGATGAACAACAGCTCTTCTCTCTAGGTTTTTTTGGACACTTTTCTCCTTGTTCTTCTACCTATCTAACCATTCTTTGAGTCTCCTTTGCTAGATCTTTACCCAGGTCTCATCCATAAATCATGGGTATCCCTCAGTGCTCTGTCCTGAGTCCTCTTCTCCCTCTATATTATTTCACTTGGTGATCTCATCGGCTCCCATAGATTCAATAATCATTCCAATGTTAATGATTCTCATATCTACTTACCCAGCCCTAACCTCTTTCCTGGAGTCACAAAGAGTTGAACACAGCTGAAAACCACTCAACAACAACCCCTCTTTCCTAATCTTTTTCCCTTTTAAATTTCCCTATTACTTTTTTTTCTTTTTTTTCCTTGGTGAGTCAATTGGGGTTAAGTGACTTGCCCAAGGTCACACAGCTAGTGAGTGTTATGTGTCTGAGGCCAAATTTGAACTCAAGTCCTCCTGACTCCAGGGCCAGTGCTCTATCTACTGCCACTTAGCTGCCCCTCCCCATTATTTTCAGGGGCATCACTACCCTTCCAGTCTTCCAGGTTCACAACTGTTGTGTTTGAAAAAATTTTTTTGTCATTGCTTTTTCTTTTCTTTGTTTTTTATTAATTTATTTTGATTTATAAACAATCACTTCCATATGCTTTTGAGTTTAAAATTTTCTCCTCCTCCCTCTCTGCCTCCCTCCCCAAGACGGTGCACAGTCTGATATAGGCTATACATATACATTCCTATTAAACATATTTTCACATTAGTGATGTTGTAAGGAAGAATTAGAACCAATAGGAAGAACCACCAGAAAGAGGAAACAAAACTCAACAGAAGAGGAAAAAAATAGCAAATAGTATGCTTCAATCTGCATTCAAATTCCATAGTTCTTTCTTTGGATGTGGATGGCATTTTCCATCATGAGGCATTTGGAGATATCTTAGGTCCTTGTATTGCTTGGAAGGGTTAAGCTTATCAATATTAGTCATCGAACAGTGTGGCTGTTATTGTGTGCAACGTTCTCTTGGTTCTGCTCACTTCACTCAGCATCAGACCATACAAGCCTTTTCAGGTTTTTCTGAAGTCAGCCTGTTCATCATTTCTTATAGCGTTTGAAAATTAAGACAAACTGAGAATCAATGACCTGAGCATGATCAATTTATTAGTTAGGCCAGAGGTAACCAATAAATTAGACCAATGGCTCCTCTTAATGACCAAAGACTCGAGTAAGGGCTGACAAGATCTTTTAAACCTAGGTGTGTCTTCCTTCTCGTGGGCCTGACTGACAGGACATTATTTGGACCTCCCCTAGCAAAGGTAAGACAATGCCCATTGGTAGACTTTTTAAAAAATTTAATAGTAATTATAAATTTGTGAGATTTTTCCTGCATTGAAATTTTGGTGATGCAACATAACCATATAGCATCACATTGTAAACAAGTCATTACATGCACGTATTCTTTCCCACAATGTGCAACATGCTCTCCTGCCAACACTTGCTTGTTCAGATCCTGTTGGTGCACTTGACCACTGATCAGTTATAACTTGCATTTTGTGTGTTTATTTGGAATAAAATGTAATCCCTATGACTTTAACTCTGTTACACAAAAGATGAAACCTATGTGAATGGTTTTTCAAAATTTTCTCCTCTTCTTTCCTTATTGGTCCATTGCCCCCTTATTTTTATCCAAGGGCTCCCAGCCCCCCTGGATCATTCCAGCACCCCCCAGGGGACGGTATCACCTGCTTTGGGAAGATTGGTAGGCATTTTCATGGAGAGATGGGTTAAGAGTCACCTTGGTTGCTCCAATTATTTCTTCAACGGGAGATGGGAGTAACCCTCAAGTGATAAAATTAGTCTGCAGACTTGGGTGTAGTCTGCAACAGCTCTGACTGAATCAACCTGAATTTGAGTTAAGTGGGTGGTAGGTGAGGTAAAGGTAAACTTTACAAGGGTGGGGATTCACTTCACTATAGAACTCCCTCCTGAGTGGAGGGAGTTACAAGACAAAAGCTTGGCTTTTAGGCAAGTTATTTCTGTATGTAAGTTAAGGGTGAAGTTACAAATGTAAGGAGTTTGGACTTACATGGTGTGGGATTATCAGTGTTAAAATATTAGTATTAAATTAAATATTCATATTAAATATTAGTATTAAAACCTATGCCAGCTTGACTAAGTCTTAAAAATAGAATTAAAATCAATTTTCAATTTTATACATCTTAGGTGTCATCCTTGACTCCTCAATCTCCCTCACATCCTATATCCAATCTGTTGCCATGTCCTAACAATTTTACCTTCATAACACCCCCTTCTCTCCTCTGGCACTGTCACCATCCTGGCACAGGCAGGTGACCTCACATCTGGATCATTGCAATAGATTGCTGCTGGGTCTGTTGGCCTCGAGTCTCTCATCAGCCCTACATCCCATCAGCTGTTGAATTGATCTTCCTAGAGCTCAAGTCTGACCATGTCACCCACCCCCCATTCAATAAACTCTAGTGGCTCCTATCATGGCCGGGATCAAATAGAAAATTTTGCTTAGCTTTTAGTGCTTAAAAAAACTTAACTCTTCCATATCTTCCAGCATCCTTGCATCTTACTCAGCCCCAGGTATTCTGTGATCTACTAACACTGGCCTTGCTGTTTCTTCCTTGTTGTTTCTGACTGCATTTTCACTGTCTATCCCCTATGCCTGTAATTCTCTTTCTCTTCCTCCTGGCTTCGCTGGCTTTCTTCAACCCTTAGCTAAAATCTCACCTTCTACAAGATGAAGTTTATGAGGGCATCTTGTTGGAGTTGTGTCCGGAGGTCAGAGAAATTAAGACTTTCTTAATCCCCCTTTATACTTAGTGCCTCTTTCCCATTAGCCCCAATTTAGCGTGTATATATCTTGTTTCTACATAGTTGTTTTCATGTTGTCTTCCCTATTAAGCTGTGAGCAACTTGAGGACTGAGACTATTTTTACCTTTCTTCGCATCCTCAGTATTTAACACCTAATAGGAACACCTAGCATATTTGTTGTTGAGTCGTATGTCCAACTCTCTGTGACTGCATCTGGGGTTTTCTTGGCAAAGATATTGGAATGGTTTGCCATTTCCTTCTTCTGTTTTACAGATGAGGAAACTGAAGCCAAGAGGATTAAGTGACTTTCTCAGGGTCACACAGCTAGTAAGTGTCTGAGACCAGATTTTGGAACTCAGCAAGAAGAAATCAAATGACAAGCATTTATTAAGTGCAGTACTAAGTGCTAAGCACTGGGTATATAAAGAAAGGTAAAAAACACACTGCCTGCTCTCAGGGGGCCCACAGTCTAATAGGGTCTATCTTCTAGTTTGGGGGTGGGGGGAGAAAGAAACCAACCTACTCAGATAGGCAGAATGTAATTTTTGCATTGCTAAAGGGGTCAAGAAGCCAGTCCCTTCTCTGTTTTATATATGCATTTTTAAGAACTCTCTTTCATTTTTAGGTCTTATTTAGCTTATTTGCTCACTTGGAAACTAGGTACCCCTAGTAGAGATAGAAATCCAGCCTTTGTGGGGGGGATTCCTAAGTAGAGTCACAAGGTAAAGAACACAGTTACTGAGAAGTCATCAAAATTGAATTTGGACTCCCATAAACCCACACCTTTCTGTAACCTTTGTCAGTCACCCTCTACTATTTGATAACCTCTTCTCTCTAGCTTTCTATGATATTACTCTACCCAGATTCTTCTCTTACTTATCTGACCACTCTTCAGCTTCTTTTGCTATCTTCAATAAAGTCACACCTTCTCTCTTTAAGGTATGGTTTACTATTTATAGTTTAATTCTCAGGTAACTCAAAGTAGCCTCTAGTTGCTCAGTCTTGTCCCACTCATTGTGACCCCATTTGACGTTTTCTTGGTAAAAATACTACAGCGTTTGGTCATTTCCTTCTCCAGCTCATTTTACAGACAAGGAAATTGAGGCAGACTGGGTGAAGTGACTTGCCCAGGGTCACAAAACTACTTAAGTGTCCGAGACTGGATTTGAACTCAAAAAAATGAGTCTTACCAACTTCAGGGTGGGCCAGAAGTATCTTCTAGTCTTCCCCCTCCCTTTAACAGCTTCTCTCCCAGAATTCCCAGGTATCCTATTGTCTTAATATCTTATCTTTCAGGATTATAGTTCTTTGTTCTGTTTTGCACAACATTTCCCCTCTATTCAATTCAACAAACTTACTAAGTGCCTATCTAATATGTGCAAAGCACTGTACTAGACTCTATTGATTAGGGTAATTATCAGATTAGGAGGAGCCTCTTCGATTAATTTAATTAATAGAAGTATCTCTTTGAGTTCACCTTTGATCCCATGGAAAGGAAAATCCTTAAGAGTTCTTAAAGATAGATTGAATGGCTTTAGGAAAATGATTCTCCAGGATCTGCCAAAAACTGAAAAAATTGTTCCATTTGACGAATCAAAGCAATTATCTGAATTTTCTAAGTATGTTTCATATTATTGTGGAATTTTGTCATTGTTTTGGGAATACCATACATTGCTAGTGGAAATATCTTGAGTTAGATTTTCCAAGGCAGGGTGAAGCTATCTCTGTGAAGTTCTCTCTAAGGATGCTTAGCATTTTTTAATAAATACTTCTTCCAGATTTGTATTTTCAAAAAGGCTAGAAATTTGAGGGAAGAATCTTGAAAAGGAAACAGACTGTGGTAGATAACCTAGCGAAATATACTCCAGAGTGGGAGGCCCGGAACAATCTTAAGGAGAGTTGTTCTTAACCATTTGTGTGCTATGGACTTCTTTGGTAATCTGGTGAAGCCTAATGGGCCCTTTCTCAGAATAATGATTTTAAGTTCATAAAATAAAAGAGATCAAAGAAAGAGGAAATCAAGTCAACAAGCATTTATTAAGTGCCTACTAGTGCTAAGCACTGGGTATGTGAAGAAAAGCAAAAACACTGCCTGTTGTCAAGGAGCTCACAATCTAATAGGGGAGACAATGTGCAAACAACTATGTACAAAAATCTCTGTGTGTGTGTGTGTGTGTGTGTACATATATGATGTCTATATATGTATATACATATGTGAGGGATTAAAATTGTGTGGGATAGAGACCACTTACTCAGAAATAGAAACAAAGACTTAGATACCTTGAAAGTAGAAAGGAGTTTATTGCTTTCTCATGAGAAAGGGTTCCCTCTTAGTTGCCATTGTGGGCCAGGAGAGTATGAATTCGCTATAGAAATCAAGGCTTATTTATACCCTAACTCCAGTTCCTCCTCCCTAACCCCCTTCCCCTTATCCCATTGGCTTGGCTTTCAGGGGGCGCAATCTATTCACGGAAATCTAGAACAAAGGTAGTTACACAAGTTTGCCCAGAGACAAGAGAAAGTGGGAAGTTTTGCAAGGGCAAGCAGTTCAAGTTGGGGGCAGGGCTATTCTTTCTGTTATTTGCTTAAAAACAGGGTGGGGGGGGGATTTTGAAAGCAGCAATCAAGAACTATTAACAAGAACCATTGACCTCCCTGAGGAGGCTTCACTTCTGAGAGATCATCTCTCACAAAATTGTCCAACCTACAATGAAAAAGAGTAAAGCAGAGGCACTCTATCAAAGGGTCCATTGTCCCCTCTGTTGAAGTGGACCTCAGATCTTCCTCCCAATCTGAGATGCCCCTTCTTCCAGGACCTTGAATTCATAGAGTTTGATACCCAAATATGCAAAAGAACCATGGTAAAATACAGAATCTCATTACATGACTCATGATGCATAAGCTAAAATAAGCAAAAATGGTATGTCAACAGGGTGCAAAGTTGGGTGAAGCAAGGAATATCTCCACTGACTAGGTGGTCTTGATGGGCTCCTCCTTAGATTAGGCAGGAGGAGATGGTACAAGTTATGCTCCAAGAACATATGGTGTGGGGTGGGGGTGTGAGAGATGGCCTAAAGCGCAGTTCCCTCAGGCCTAAGCCCTTTCTCAAAAATCCACGTCAGCACAGGCAGTTCCTGGTCACTCCCGCTTTCTGGTGCACGCATACATCTAGTTCCCAAATATGGGTATGTTTGTTTCTATTGGGTATTAGTTGCCGCGTTTAGATTGCACGCCTCGAGTACCCAGCCAATGGGGAAAAGAGGTAAGAAAGTGGGAAGGGGAACGCTTAGGGCTATAAAACTTTGCCTCTCACAGCCAGTGGGTGCACCCCCTGGCTGCCACTGCTTGAACGACAAGGGCTGTGCCCTTTCTCATGAGAAAGAATAAAGACCTTTTCTGATCTCTGATTCAGACTCCGAACTCTTGATTTCTGTGGTCACTGTCCCACACAGGGGGAGCTTTCTGTACCATGCCACCACCCATACTTGGTTTGATCATGACATATGAGCAAAACAAGACGGAGATATCTTTGTCAGCATTCTTGTGGTTGCACAAGTAATCTCCATAGCTGGTAAACAAGTAATGAACATTACACTGAAGTTTGAGGCCTATTATAGGGCACTTCTATTAGAATCTATATTCCTACATGACTTACACAAAGTATGGATTAATACATTGCTTATTCTTGTACCTATTATTAGGTGATTGACTCGATATATATATTACTAGATGAATATATTAAAATAATTACTAATAATCATTATCCCTTATAAAATCATAATGAACTGACTAATACTGGTTAGAGTTTGAGTAGAGATCCTCAATGAATCATTTCTCTTATTTATATGTGTACATATATATATACATATATGTATGTGTGTGTATACATACATACATATACACACACACACACACACACACACACACACACATATATATATATATATAGGATTGATTGGAAAAAAGGACCCATATGTGTATAGCTTCTCTTTTTATAGTCCTAAAGAAATGGAAACTCAGGAGATATCCAGTGATTGGAGAATGACTTAATAAATTGTGGTATAAGAATGTAATGGCATATTATTGAGCTCTAAGAAATAACAAAGGGGATAGTTTCAGACAACCCTGGGAAGCCTTGCATCAATTAATGCAGAGTTGAGTGACAGAACCATGCGAACAATCTATATATTAACAACATTATAAAGAAAAACAACAACTTTGAAAGACTTAAGAACTAATCAATCCAATGACCAAACATGATTCCAAAGGAGGGACGATGAAGCTTGCTACTTACTTCCTGACAGAGAGGTGATAGACTCACGGTGAAGAGGGAGATAGAAGTTTTTGCACATGGCCAATGTTGTGATTTGTTTTGCTCAACTATATAATTGTTATAAGGGTCTTTTTATTTCTTTTTCCAGTTTGGGGTGGAGGGGAGGGGGTGATGGTAGAAGGAGAAACAGTAGGTGCTTTTAAATGAATATATAAGAAAAAAATTTAATCAAAGAAAATAAAGGTGGGGGCATCTTACTCATCAGCCGCTTTCTTGGAGCACTAACCTTATCTATTTCAGAGGCTTAAGATGACTTGGAGGACAGGATAGTGGGACAGGGGAAGTAGTATGGAATTTTGCCTGCACAGCTGATACAGATCCTTGGATGGCAATTGGATGGTTATATGTGTGTATGCATATATGTGTACTGTGTATGTATGTGTACATACACATATGTTCATATCCATGTATGTTTTATATGTGTGTTTGTTTATGTGTGTATACATGTGTATACACATGTGTATATGTCCACAGATATAGACATAGGCTGATGCCCCATGCTGTCAAATGGGTGAGGAGGCTGGTAGAGCGGAAAAAATACTGATGGATAACGGGTGAAGGAGGTGGTATAGTTATGTTGGAGACAAGCCTATGATTGACTATCATAAGGAGAGCAGGCTATATAACCCACCCTCCCACTATCCAACTGGTTGATTATACATCCTTTAGGGCAGGGTTCCTTAACCTGGGGCCTCCTAACTTTTTAAAAAGTATATTTTGGTAAATGTATTTCATCCCTGACATTTTCATGCCCTGGTCTTGTTGGTGAAGGTATAGAACTAGATTTATAAGCAGTTTCTCATCGAGCCTGTCTGACCCTTTTCCCCACCACACTGGAAGATACAGAAACAGTGGTTGTTTAGGGAATCTTACCTAGAAGATGGTGATGATAGATCTGGTCCATCCGGGATCGGAGGTGTTAATGCCAGATCTATTTGACTCTTTCCAATCACATCCTGCTTTTTTGGCCTTATGGATTTAATGGTGTGCTTTGGTTCTTTAGGAAAGACACTGATTCTGACCCCAGAGCACCTTGGATGAGGTACGTAGATAAAGTGACTCAAATGTACCCAGATCGGTAAAGGTGGTGAGGATAGCACAGAAAGAATTTGTTTTCTTTTTTTTGGAGGCGGCTGTTCTCTAATTAGATAACTTTGGAAGTACATCTTGGAGGAAGAGGGGCAGAGAGGTGATCAATATCTTTTTTTGTCTCCTTGTGAACAGGTTAAAAAAAAAGTAGAAAAGTGTAGAAAAGTTAGAAAAGCAAATGAAAGCCTTTCATTGAATTGCTTGGGGACGCACATTAGAGGGAAGACATTGACAGGTAAGGAAAAATGACTCAGTGGATTTTGGCATTAATGTAAGCTGAATCCCTCATTGTAACCTCAACTCTGGAGAATGTCTTTTGAATCTAAATTTACAGATCCAGATAAGATATAAAGTTGAACTATTGGATGAAACTGATAACAATTATAGGAAACTGAGTGAGCCAGTAGATTTGAGTTTGCAGATTTCTTTTCCACAGAAGGAAGTGTCATATTTTCAACATAACATTTAGTATCAGGAGATTGCTACAAGATAAAGAAAACAAAACCAAAATAACTGATGACAGCAACAATGCTAATAAAATCAACATGGCAAGGCAATAAAACTCTGGTAAAAAAAACAATGGCCAATGTTAGTGCCACATCGTCCAAGTGGAAGGGCACCACCTTCCTTCTGTTAATCAATCAACTAACTATTTGGGGAAATGTGCTTTGTAAGGAGGCTTTGTTTGAAAATCCAAAGGCTTTGTTTTGCTGTTCTCTGAGAACTATATATTCTGTCAAAACGAAAGGTATAAATGTTTTAATGAAATCAACATAATGTTTAGTGTTGTGCTTTCTTCATAAAAAGTTCTGTTTTTCTAAAAAAGAGAAGAAAAAATGGAGGGAAATTATGTTTTGTTCTGTTTTAACTAAACCAGATTTAGCAGGTCTGCAGTGTAGGAGACATGGACTGACCAAAGCACCCTCACCAAAGTCACTTCCACCACCACCACCACCACCATCATCACCATCATCACCACTGCCCACCATTACTACCATCACCATCACTACAACCACCCTCACCACCACCACCACCACCTCCACCAGTATCACCCCCATCTCCACCACCACCACCACCACCACCACCACCATCACCATCATCACCACTGCCCACCATCACTACTATCACCATCACTACAACCACCTTCACCTCCACCACCATCACCACTACCCACCATTACTACCATCACCATCACTACAAACACCCTCACCACCACCACCACCACCACCACCACCATCACCACTGCCCACCATTACTACCATCACCATCACTACAACCACCCTCACCACCACCACCACCATCACCAGTATCACCCCCATCTCCACCACCACCATCACCACTACCCACCATTACTACCATCACCATCACTACAACCACCCTCACCACCACCACCATCACCAGTATCACCCCCATCTCCACCACCACCACCATCACCACTACCCACCATTACTACCATCACCATCACTACAACCACCCTCACCACCACCACCACCACCACCATCACCAGTATCACTCCCATCTCCACCACCACCACTATCACTACCACCACCATCACCACTACCCACCATTACTACCATCACCATCACTACAACCACCCTCACCACCACCACCATCACCAGTATCACCCCCATCTCCACCACCACCACCATCACCACTACCCACCATTACTACCATCACCATCACTACGACCACCCTCACCACCACCACCACCACCACCACCATCACCACTACCCACCATTACTACCATCACCATCACTACAACCACACTCACCACCACCACCACCACCATCACCAGTATCACCCCCATCTCCACCACCACCACTATCACTACCACCACCATACCACTACCCACCATTACTACCATCACCATCACTACAACCACCCTCGCCACCACCACCACCACCACCACCATCACCAGTATCACCCCCATCTCCACCACCACCACTATCACTACCACCACCATCACCACTACCCACGATTACTACCATCACCATCACTACAACCACCCTCACCACCACCACCACCACCACCACCATCACCAGTATCACCCCCATCTCCACCACCACCACTGCCACTATCACCATCATCACCACTGCCCACCATTACTACCATCACCATCACTACAACCACCCTCACCACCACCACCACCACCACCACCTCCACCAGTATCACCCCCATCTCCATCACCACCACTACCACTATCACCATCATCACCACTACCGCCATCACCATCATCACCACTACCCACCATTACTATCATCACCATCACTACAACCACCCTCACCACCACCATCACCAGTATCACCCGCATCTCCATCACCACCACTACCACTATCACCATCATCACCACTACCACCATCACCATCATCACCACTACCCACAATTACTACCATCACCATCACTACAACCACCCTCACCACCACCACCACCACCACCACCATTGCCAGTATCACCCGCATCTCCATCACCACCACTACCACTATCACCATCATCACCACTACCACCATCACCATCATCACCACTACCCACAATTACTACCATCACCATCACTACAACCACCCTCACCACCACCACCACCACCACCACCACCACCATCACCAGTATCACCCCCATCTCCACCACCACCACTATCACTCCACCACCATCACCACTACCCACGATTACTACCATCACCATCACTGCAACTACCCTCACCACCACCACCACCACCACAACCTTACTCTTACTCTAATTGCAAAACCAATTCTTTGAAGTGCCTTAAAAACAGACTTGCAGAGGGTTGGATCAACACACTTAACCTTACAAAGTAAGGTAGTAGATACCACAAGGATCTCTTTCCCTTCATAGACAGCAGCCCAAGTCGGATATTCTGTTCAGTTCCCAGTTAAAGGTGGGAGATAGTGGTGGGAGGAGCAGTAGACCCAGGAGATAATCTGTCAGGGATAACTAGGAGGAGGAATAGAAAAGCAAATACAGAAACTTCTAAGGGAGGGGAGGATAGCTCTATGCCCACTTTGGAATCAGGCCTTTTAGGCTATCTCTCCCGAACCTTAGATCCTGCTCTTTCTTCTCTACAGGGAAACACCCTATGCTGGGCATCATGTCCTGGTTCTTCAGACACTGCACCACCATTTTAGCTGGCTCAGGACTCCTTTGGATTTTCATCAGCTTGGGAACCCCCAACATAATGAAAACATTTATTTTCTGGTGAAATCAGAAGCCAACTAGCTCTGCCCTGATCTCAGTCTAGGAATAGAGCAATGTGGAATTGGGCCTGATATGAATAGGCCCAATCATCAACCAAATCTGAGCTTACCTCCTCCCTTTATCTCTCCTAGAAGATAATTGGACAGTAGCCCATAGCCCTGAAATATTTATTTTGTACTTTTCTTGAGGTGGGGGAGGAAACAACTGTGGTCTGAGCCCTGAATACTCTGTCCAACGGTTTGGCATCCTGGGAACATTTCTACCTTGGTAACTCTTTGGTCACCAATCCACACTACTTTTCCCCCTGGAAATCTTAGAACACGATGACAATCATAATAATTACAGCTGATATTGGCAATGTTTTTAGTGGAAGGAGTGTTAGCCTCACGATTAGGAAAACCTGGTTCAGATCCTGCCTCTGATACACACTGATTATGTGACTTTGAGCAAGTGTCCTCATGCAACTCTCTAAATCCTTAAGTTGTAGAGAAAGTGGTAACATGTTGATAGGCTGATAGACGGAATTGCTATTATCAATGAAACCGTAGGTCCAATTCCCTTTCCCTTAAGGTTTGCAGAGCCCCTTATATATATGATCTCATTTTATTATTGCAATAGTCCTTTGAGGTAGATAATTCCACAGGAGGAAAAAATAATCTCCATTTAACAGAAGAGGAAACTTGAGGATTAGAGGGTTAGGTGACTTACCCAGAGTCTCACAGTTAGTGAGTACAGATGTTAAATAAGAAAAAACAGAGATCATGGAGGTGAATTACTTCTGTTCTGAGAGTTTTAAGAGAGAAAATAAAATGGAGGGCAAAGGAAATACACTAATTTAGAGAGGAAGAAGAAGGAAGTAGAACTTGTTCTTTTTCATAATTGGAGTGGGTGAGAAGAGAGCATATAATCATGGAAGAAGGGGCGGTAGTAGTGGGCATTAAGTAAATCTGACTCTTCTCTGAAACAGACAAAGGAAGATTGAACACACACTTGAACACATACAAAAAGTTTGGTGCAGAGGTGGAGCCAAGATGGTGGAATAGTGGTAAGAAGTACTGTCAAGTTCTACCCAACAAATCCTCCAAAAAGATCAAGAAAAAAAATTCACTATATCCTGATTGGGAAATCCAAGAAGAAAATCAGATTGAGTTATTTTTTTCCTAGCCTGGGGCAGCATAGGGAGATAGACAGAGAGGTCTGAAGATATGGGGAAAGGGATCTGACCAGAAATGTGCCATGTGGAGCTTTCCAGAGCAAGGAGAGGCTGTGTATCAAGTCAAGAACTCCCAGATCCAGTCTAAAATTTGGGTAGGGTACAGGTATATGTGCCAACTGATGCTCACTCTTCAGTTACAGGTCAGCGCCTAGGCTGTATAACAAGCAAGGAGCAAGTTTCTGTCTAAGTTTCTATAAGCTATATAGCTTAGAATCCAGGAGTGGAGTGGGGTTACAGTTCCAGCTTCAAGTCCTATCTGAAGCCTATAGTGGAATAACCAGGGCAGGAATCCCAGACCAAAGGGAAGCCTGCTGAACCAGCAGAGTTTTCCTCTGGCTAGCGAAAGCTGAGTCCAGCTGCAGTCTGTCTGCAGTATAAATGGGCCAAGCCCACAGGCATTTTGCTCAGACCCAAACCTAGGTCAAGAATTTGTAGAGATCAGGCTAGTGAAGCAGAAACCAGACTCTGCCCTAGATCACACCACTTTGGGAACCTTGAAAGCTTGCCCTGGTACACAGCCTCTCCTTGTACTGGAATGCTCCATGTGTTGCAGCTCTGGCCAGACCCTTTTCCCCATGTCTTTAGACTTCTCTGTCTACCTCCTTATGTTGCCTTAGACCTTCCTTCAAGAAATGTGGCATAGTCCAGCCCTAATATCAAGTCTGAAGTCAGGAAGTAGGCAGGAAGAATAAACAAACAATAAAAAAAAAAGAATGGCACCTTAAAAAGCAATCACTGTGACCAAAACTCTCAAGACACAAACCTGGAAAAAGTGAATGACTCCAAGAATGTACAAGCAAAGCCTAAAAGAGGCTTTTAGCAAAAGCTTAAAAAAAGCTTGGGTACAAGTTCAACTAGAATTCCTGGAAGAGATGAAGCAAGATTTTGAAAAAGACTTTTAGAATATTTTTATAAATGAAATGAGTATGCTAGAGGAAAACATTAGAAAAGAAATGAAAACTATGGAAGAAAGAACTAGAAAGGGAATTGGTAGCTGGCATAAAACCTTGCCCAAGCAACAAAGTCCCTGAAAGTTAGAATGGATCAAATAGAAGCCAATGATTCCATGAAACAACAAGAAACATTAAAACAAAGTTTAAAAGACTGGAAAAAAAGAGTAGAAAACAGAATATATCTCATAGCAGAACAATTGACTTGGGAAACAGAATGAGGGAATGTGAGAGTACCCTTGAGATTAATATGTGTGTTTTCTGTGAGTTACCTTACCAGGCAACTGCATTGGACATGGAGTAAAAGCTGTAACAAACCAAAAGAGCCAATCAGGAGCCTACAGTGAGCCAAAAGTTTTGCTTACTCCCAGACACCTTTGCTGGTGTTTGCTAACTGACCTCGCTGAGTGGTGCACCTCAAACTGGCTTAAACCAACCTTGTGGTCAACTGTTGCTGCAAAACATCCTGCTTCTGTGTCCTACCTGTTCCTGGAAAGAACTGTCCATTGTCTGCCCTAACCCATCCCCGAATGTCCCCTTTGCGGTTTTCAAGCATAAATTGCCCCCTGCCTCTCCTAGGCTATAGACTTCCTCATACTTTGTACTTGGTTGCCACGGCACTGGTATCTAATTTTCCTTCTGAAAAAACCTTTCTTGTTTCAACTCAACTTGGACTTCCCTGTATGTAAAAGGTAAGCTTCACCTGGTTGACAGGGTGATAATTATTCAACTACCTGAAAGCTATGGGGGGGAGGGGAGGATGGGGAGAGACAGAGAGAGAGAGAGAGGGAGAGAGATTATATATCATATTTTAAGAAATCATAAAAGAAAACCACTCAGATCTTTTAGAACCAGAGAGCAAAGAAAAAATAGAAAGAATCCACTAGTCCCCTCCTGAAAGAAATCTCAAAATGGAAACTCTCAGAAACATTATAATGGAGCTTCCAGTTCAAAGAAAAATTACAGCAAGCAGCCAGAAAAACTCAAGAACTGAGGAGCCATAGTCAGGATCACACATAATTTAATAAAAACAAAGGATGTAGGCTTATAATCAAGAATAACATCCCCCCAAAAAACCCCCCCCAAAAAACAAAAACAAACCCTCTGAATATAATTCCACATGGGGGAAAAAAAAGAATCATTAATGAAACAGAGGACTTCTAAGCATTCCTATTGAAAAAACCGGAGCTGCATGGAAAATTTGAAATGCAAACACAAGAGTCAAGAGAAACATAAAAAGGCATACATGAGTAAGTAATCATAAGTTATTAAACTGTTTACATTCTATTTTTTGGCTAGGCAATGGGGTTAAGTGACTTGCTGAGGGTCACACAGCTAGTAAGTGTTATGTGTCTGAGGCCAGATTTGAACTCAGGTCCTCCTGAATTCAGGGTCAGTGCTCTATTCATTGTGCCACCTAGCTGCCCTACTGCTTATATTCTAAAATGAGAAGATGATTTGTGTACCCTCAGAACTCTATCATTATTAGGGAGCATAGAGGGAGTCTAATGAGATAAAGGGCCTGGGACTGGTTTTTTAAAGTCTTGATAACTTGACCTTAAAAAAAAGAATGGAAAGGGAAGAGGGGAAGAGGAAAACATCGAGGAGGGGTGGTGTGGAATGAGAAGAATGTTAGGTCTACAGAAACAAGGAGGAAGAAGTAGGAAGAGTTGCTGACACTTGAACTATGCTCTCATGTGAATTGGTGAAAGGAAAGAAGAATACACACAGATAAATACACATACAGTTGGGTCCTGAAATATTATTTCACTCATTAGGGAAAGAGGAGAACATGGGGACAAGAGAGAGGGGGGGAATAAGAGAGCAGGTTAATTAAGGGATCGATTACTCCTAAGCAAAACAAATCCTAACCAAGAATGTAAAAAATATAACAATTCTTTTTGTGATGGCAAGGAATTAGAAACTTGAAGGGGTGCCCAATGAATTGGAGAATGGCTGAACAAGGTTCAGTGTATGAATGTGATGGAATATTATTGTACTATAAGAAATTATTGTGATGGTTTCAGAAAAATTTGGGAAGACTTGTATGAACTGATGCAAAGTGAAGTGAGCAGAACCAGAAGAACAATTTATACAGTAATGACAATATTGTAAAAATAATCAATTCTGAAAGATTTAGTAACTCTAATCAACACAATGATCAATCACAGTTCCAGAGCACTCAAGATGAAACATGCTATCCACCTCCAGAAAGAGAATGCATGGTCTCAGAGTACAGATTGAAGCATATTTTCTTCTGCTTCTTTCTTTTTCTGGGAACATGGCTAATGAGGAAATTTGTTTTGCATGACTATTCATTATTTGTAATAGGCTCTGAGGGAGAGAATTTGGAACTGAAAATAAAACAAAATTGAATTTTAAAAAAAGAAATTATTAGAAGATGATTTTTGAGAAACTTGGGTAGATTTATATGCAGTGACACAGTATGAAGTTGTTGTTATTAATTCTTCATTTTTGAAGAGGACCACAATATGAAGTAGAACCTAGAGAACAGTTTCTATAATAACAACGATGTTGGAAAGACAAACAACTGTGAAAGACTTAGAACCTCTGATCAGAGTAATGGCCAATCACAATTCCAGAGGAACTGATGAAACATGCTACCCAACTCTTGACAGAGATGCACTTAGTGGGCAGAACAAGATATATTGAAAGGTAGAAAGGGGATAGCCAATGAAGAAATTTGTTTTGTTTGACTATACATGTTTGTAACAGAGGTTTTGTTTTTCTTCTTTCTCATTTGGGGGTAGGGGTAAGAAGGATAAAGGGCAGATTTTTGTTGATTGAAAATAAATAATTTACTTAAAGAAAAAAGAGAAGACATTGGCAAATGCATCAAACTCAACAGGGAATCAGGTGGGAGTAGGGAGAGGGAAGTTAAGGGGGAGTGTAATAATAAGGAGGCAATATCTACAAGGCAAAGAAATGCTGACTTTGGAGGATAGGTCCTGGAAAGGCAAGATGGATAGATTAAAAGCTGAGGGGGAAGAAAAGATAAGATTCATTGATTGGGTCAAGTCAAGGGGAGAAGAGGAGGGGCAGCAAATTGCTTCAGTGGTAAAAATCATATGTTTTACCAATAGTTTACCAATTTATCATCTTCATTGTAGTTGAGGAGGTGGGATCCTGAGAGAGGAAATAGTATCTTGAGAA